TGTACGGGGGAGGGGCAGAGAGAGAGGGAGACACAGAATCGGAAACAGGCTCCAGGCTCTGAGCCATCAGCCCAGAGCCTGACGCGGGGCTCGAACTCCCGGACCGCGAGATCGTGACCTGGCTGAAGTCGGACGCTTAACCGACTGCGCCACCCAGGCGCCCCAATATACATGATTTTTTTAATAAAAACGAATAAATGGAAACCAAACTTCTTAAAACACACAGACACACACACACACACACACACACACACACACACACACACACACACAGAGTTTCAGAAGCTACATGTATTCCAGGCTTCTAGTTAATATGCAATTCAAAAGCACTGAAAAGTTGTGGGAGGAGTCTGGCAAGGGTTTTAATAATGAATGGAGTTTGGGAAGGAAGTAGAACGGGATTTAGTGAAGGGAAAGAAATGTTGTTTCGACTTTGTACACCTTGGTATTGCATTATCTCCTTTGTGAATAAGCATTATTTATATTAGTATTACAATTTGGAAGAATAAACCAACTTTAAGAGAGAACATTAAAAAAAGAGGGGCGCCTGGGTGGCTCAGTCAGTTAAGCGTCCAATTTCGGCTCAGGTCATGATCTCGCGGTCCTTGAGTTCAAGCCCCATGTCGGGCTCTGTGCTGACAGCTCCGCGCCTGGAGCCTGTTTCAGAATCTGTGTCTCCCTCTTTCTCTGACCCTCCCCTGTTCATGCGCTCTCTCTCTCTGTCTCAAAAATAAACAAACGTTAAAAAAATTTTTTTTAAAAATTAAAAAAAAAATAAAAAAAATTAAAAAAGGAAGCATGTAATTGGGAAGATGGGATTGATATACAGTTAGCTTAAATTATATTTCAACCTTTAATTTCAGCTCAGAAATCCTCTCCCCTCTTTCCGGATTATAGGGTAGTTTGACTAATGAATGGGTAAAGAAATTGTGACATATACATATAATGGCATATTACCCAGCCATCAAAAAAGAATGGCATCTTGCCATTTGCAATGGTGTGCATGTAGCTAGAATGTATTCTGCCAGCAAAAGAAGTCACTCAGAGAGACAAATACTGTATGATTTCACTCATGTGTGGAATTTAAGAAGCAAAACAGATGAACACGTGGGGGGGAGAGAAGAGAGGGAAACAAAACACAAGAGACACTTAACAATAGAGAATAAACTGAGGGTTGATGGAGCAAGGTGAGTGGGAGATGGGCTAGATGGGTGATGGGCATTGAGGAGGGCGCTTGTGATAAGCACTGGGTGATGTATGTGATAAGTCACTAAATTCTACTCCTGAAACCAATATTGCACTGTATGTTAATGAAAATTTAAATTAAAAAAAAAAAGAAATCTCCTCTTTTTGACAGCCTTCCTTGTATTTTCCCTCTTTTCCTCAGATCAGTATAGATTATCCCTTATCACGCACTCACTGCTGTGAATCGATGTAATTATTAGAATTTTAATAACCTGTTTCCTTCAGTAGAGGTGGGATTCCAGTGTTTTATATCTTACTTGTTCCTAGCTTCTAGTATAACGCCAGAGTCCTGCAGGAACACAATAAATTCCTAAGGAGTCTCATATCACTTATAAATCAGTAGATTTGCTATTTTTGGAACCAGTCCAATTAACCCTATTCCATCCACAAGCAACATCCTTAAATCTGACCAGTAATCAGTGGAACCAATCTGGAATATAAAATGTCAGACTGGTGACTAGGTCTTAAAAGCTAAAAATACATTTCCAATAATTAGAAAAAAAAAACATGAAAATAAATAATCCCTGCTGAACATCATAGTGAGTTATATATGGAGATAAAACATGGATACGCATCATAACATGCATAGGCTATGTCAAATATGCTTCTCAGATATGTTAATATCATTATATATAAAATGATAATTTCAGCAAACCTTTTTGTGCTTACCACATGACAGATATTTTTCTAAATTATTACTATCTCATTCAATTCAGTGCACTATTACCATGATTTAACAGGTAAGGAAACCTAGGCAATGACAGGGTAACTAATTTGTTAAAGATCACTCAGCCAGAAAATACTGAAATTCAGAATTTAGTTCAGGTAGTCTCAGAGTCTGTCCTACTTCTATAAAGGATAAATGGATTTTAAAGGTTTAAAAAAATACTCTTTAGGGGCACCTGGGTGGCTCAATCAGTTAAATGTCCCACTCAATTTCAGCTCAGGTCATGATCTCACAGTTCTTGGGTTTGAGCCCCGCACCAGATTTTGCACTGACAGCATGGAGCCTGTTTGAGATTCTCTCTCTCTGCCCCTCTTTCACTTGAATTCTCTCTCAGAATAAAGAAATAAACATTAAAACTATTACTCTTTAGTTTTCCTCCATGCATAAAAAAAACTTAATTTATAAAATATCTTAAACGTTTCTATATACAACATCTCAAAAGATTTATGTTAATTGGAAAAAAAATCCATCACTCTCTTAAATTGAATAAAGTCAGAGGGTTTTTTTGTGTGGTTTTTTTTAACATTTTAAGAACTCTCTGCATCCAATGTGGGGCTCAAACTTAACAACCCCGAGATCAAGAGTCTCGTGCTCCCCGACTGAGCCAGCCAGGTGCCTCAAGGTAAAGTTTTTTAATTGAAAGTGTTTTTAAGAATTCATCTTATGTAAATTTCCCCTCAAACTAGTATTTTTGTCTATGGCCTCCCTCTCTGGTATCATCAGTCACTACTCAAAGAGTTCCAGTCAAGGCACTTGGACCTGACCTCCCCACCCCATGTTCAATGTCATCTTTGTATTCTGATCATTTTATTTTATAAAAAGTTTACCGGTAGAAATACAGATGCTTCTTAAAATAGCTTTTGAGCACATTAGCCTATTTGTCCTACTTTTGTATATGCATTTGCCCTTTCCTTAGGCCAGGTCTTTGAAGCACAGGAAACAGGTAAAAACAAGTCTCTGACAATAACCCATGTTTCAGGTTGTCCATTCACTTGCCCATCTTACCCTCTGCTCTTTGTTCTTTTCTCCTCAGCTTGAACTGCTGATTTGCTGTTCCATGCCTAGTCTGAAAAGATGATTGGGCACTTTAGAATTCCAGTAATTAATTTCTAGATCTTGAGTTAATTACATTATGCTTATGCTAAGTGTTTCTAGACTGCATTTCCTCAGGTGGTTAAAGTGTATATTCTGGTTTTCAAACACTTCAGCATAAAGATCACACTTTTCTGAATGTGGTCTTTTTCAGAAACCTTCAAATTCAGAGCCACAGAGAACACAGTTTTCCATGCAGAGCCTGACCAGTGCAGTGCAGAGGGGATGGCTGTCTCCCTTCCTTACAGACAGAATTGACAGAGAAGACCTGTTACACTGCTGCCTCACAGAGGGTGCTGTCAGTGTTACCTTCATTTTCTATCTGTTAATTCATCACATTCTATTACCTGCTCTTTTGTTAAGTAATAATCTCTATGCCCAACATGGGCCTCAAACTCACAACCCTGAGGTCAAGACTCGCATGCTGTACTGACTGAGCCAGCCAGGTGCCCCTGTATTAACTGCTTTTTAAAAAAAATTTTTTAACGTTTATTTATTTTTGAGAGAGAGAGAAAGAGCACAAGTGGGGAAAGGGCAGAGAGAGAGAAGGAAACAGAGAATCCAAAGCAGGCTCCCCAGCCTGAGCTGCCAGCACAGATCCCAACGCAGGGCTTGAACTCACAAACCACGAGATCATGACCTGAGCCAAAATTGATCGCTAACTGACTGAGCCACCCAGGCGCCCCTATATTACCTGCTTTTAAGCCAGGTCTGTTCCAGCTTCTTCCTAGACAGCTGATAATTTTTAAAGGAACAAATTGAAATATATTATAATAAACTCCTCCAAATCTTTTCTCAGTTACACCAGATAATAAATATTGAGATCTCCGATTGTCATTATATGTCGTAGGTATTTCTTATACTGCACAGAAAGCATCTGTGTGTTTGATAAGCTTGCCTCTGTGTTCCCTCATGTCACTGATAAGCAAGTTGACTGGGATGCAAATAGAACTCACTAAGGGTGATTGTTCAGGCTACTTACTTATGTCATTTTTTATTCATTTATTCATTCATTCACTTATTCATTTGGTATACATTTTTTGAAAGCCAGTTATGTATGAGAGATTGTGTTATGTTCTAGGAACATAAATAAATAGAAAATAAGTCCCATATCCCCAAGGAATTCACAAATCAATGGGATACAAACAAATGAACAAAATATTATGATATGGATAGAAAGTAACTAAGACAGTACAAAATAGACATTTCTAGAGAGAAGAGATTGATCATGTTTTTCTCTTTCCGGCAACTTAGTACCTGACACAGAGAAAGCACTAAATGCGTATTTTATGAATGAACATCTACTGTCCTTAATAAAAAAAAAAAAAGTCATTTGATTAGGGGATTTTCTTCTGCAGTAACAACTTTAAATCCCTCACAATTTTTGAACAAAGATAAACAAATACTCCTACCAGATCTGATAAGGCGTGTACCATCCTTTTGCTGAAAACTGCTGTTAAAATATCATAAACCACGGTCGAGTAAACCAAATTTAGTTTTAAACACCTACTGTGTGTTCCAGGTATCACCATTCAATTTCCTCCTTTCTTTGCCAAATGAATGTCTGGCACGATGTTTTTAACTGGGAAAAGTTAAACCACCACCCATGCTCCAAGATTTTTGCACTTCTATCCCCAATTTCAAAACAATTAAGGATACATTCCCGTAAGTTCTTTTACTTGTTGTGTCCAAGAATTATTTCTTCACACTTGGTATCCGTCAGGACTTTTTAAATACAAACAACAGAAACCAACTTTGACTGATTTAGGAATAAAATGAATTCATTAAAATGATAGTGGGTGCATTACCAATTGAGGGGACAGCTTTAGAACCAAGCTTTGCAAATGGACACAGCAGTGGAGGCCAGGTATCAAAAGCAACAGAGTGAAAGAAGGGCTAGCATCCCTTACCGAAGGGTGGATCCATCCCAAAGCTTGTACCAAGCAATGCCACTGGACACTTGAATTTGTTCTGCCATCGGTACCCCTAGAAGCTCAATATGTTGCTGCTTCTACCCAACAAAACCCTCAGTAGAATGGAGCCATCTGATTGGCCAAACCTGAGTCATGTGCCTATATAAATAGGCACATCTTAGTGTCAGGAGGCCAGGAATCATGCAGTCCCTTCCACCCACAAGGGCTTATAATAGAGGGATCCTTCAAACATGAAGGTGTTGGGGCTCTAATGCTGGATAGTCCAAGGTGGGGAAAGCAAAAGAAAAACGTCCGTGACCCACCTGCACTGAGTGAAGTACATAATAGAGAAAAAAGATTATAATCCTTGGCAAAAAAAAATACCAGAATGAAACATGGAACAGAACATTCCAGAACAAAAGTATACTCCCTGGTTATGCCAGGTGTATATATAACCAATATTGCATCTCTCTCTCTCTCTCCAAAGAGTATTCCTACACATCACTAGAATATCTTCACACACAAAACACATTCCCTTAAATCTTATAATTCTTGTGAATTTTCTGTGTGTTGTGGAAAGTTGTGGAGCCTTCTATGGCTTCTATGGGAAGAGGTATACATTTGTGTATGAGCAAGTATTCCATTTTCATTGCAGATAATACAGAAGGCACAATTTTGCAAACAGGAGAAAAAAATGACACATGATTCTGCCACACCCAAACAACCAGCAATGACTCTCCTTTTATTTAGTTAGTTAGTTATTTTTTTAGTGTTTATTTTATTTTTGAGAGAGAGAGAGAAAGAGAGAGAGCATGAGAGAGGCAGAGAGAGAGGGAAACAAACAATCCGAAGCAGGCTCCAGGCTCCAAGCTGTTAGCAGAGCCCGACAGGGGCTCGAACCTATGAACTGTGAGATCCTGACCTGAGCTGAATTTGGATGCTCACGTGACTTAGCCACCCTGGTGCCCCTGACTGTCCTTTTAGATGTGTATGTCCATGCATTTATTGTGCTTCTATAGTCATAATACAAAGTTTGTATGCATTTGTGTGTAAGTTTATGGTTTATAGCATCATACAATATATTGGTTTAATCTTGAGTTTCTAAATTAACAAATTAACTGAGAAAACATTCTTAATGTTGAAATTTCTGCACTGCTTCTATATGAATAGATTATTTCTCCTTTTCTTTTCATTCTCTGTCATTTTTTTTTAATTGCCTACTCTTGAAATATTTTAATTTGCCTCTGCCTCCTCAGGAAAAGAAAGTCTTTTCAATATTTTCATCTTGTATGATTTTTGCTTACTATCTCTGGACATTTTTATTTTCTTGAGAGGTATTACTCAAAATCAGGTAAGGAGACCAGTTGGCATTTTCACATAATTGGCAAGTTCCTCAGGCAAGAAGACAAATATAACACATCCCCTGCAGGTTGCTGAAACATTTCCCTCAGTGTTTATACCTCCAAGGTATTGAGATGGGCTCTCAACTTTCTTGTTAACCAACAGCAAACCCTTCCTATCACTGCTGCAGGGAGAAGCTGGGTTTTGACACCTTGAACCCTTTTGAATTTCTAAGAGGCTGGACTTTCTGGAAAATTCTGCTTTCCCTCCCTTCTCTACTCTTCTCTCACTAGTTACCTGTTAATATGAAAAGAGAACGGGTTGGTTCAAGAACAGCGGTTTATACTCTAGTAGGATGAGGTTTCTGAGATGGCATGGGCAGAGCAGAATGAGAGCAGGTGCCAGTATCAGACAGATCTAAGCTTCAATCCCAATGCTTTCACTCCATAGTTGTGTTGCAGTCAGTGAGTTACTCACATTAGTTGAGCCTCCATGTTCTCGTCTGCAAAATGGGAATAATAATATAGACCGTACTGGCTTGTTGTATGTACATGGCTGACCCCATAAGCAGTAATTCATTAGCAGTAGTCCAAACTATGCTGACATCTACTGAATCCATAGAAACTCACCCCTGAATATTTTAAAAATTCTCTTACCTTTGCTCACTTTTTAGCTTGTCGTATTTACTGTGGGTTCTCCTATATAGCCAATTAAAACAACTGAAAACAATAATTATTTTATTTTGCCCTATGTGGAGGATGCATACAATATACTGAACTGAAACCAACACCCTCCCACCAAGTTTTGCTTACACAATAACCTTTCCAAATATTAGCTGCTTCTCTCCACAAATAGGACATTGAGGATTTGGGTTTTTCTTTTTTTCAATTTTTTTAACTTAAGCAGCATACTGTTTCATAACCCCTGCAACTTATTAATAGGTTTTGTTTGTATAATGCTTTTTGTGTAAGGTGTCATTTCATGCCAGTGCATTATCTCTGCTTTGTATGTTTCTAACTACAGATTTCCTCTTTTTTCCATAAGTTGGTTAATGAGAAATGGCTTCCTTACATATCTTTGTTGGTTCCAAATAGATGTCTTTATTTAACATTTAACATATGTGTAAAAGTAAATGCAATTAAATTTTTTTTCACCAAAGTTAATATTAAGGACATAAAAACTACTTCCAGAGGAAATGAACTAACATCCCTACATAATTAATTCCTGTGATCGCAGGAATATCAACTGGCAGAGCCAAAATTCAAACCCAGGGCAGTGTGATTTGAAAATCTATCCTTTCTCTAATACTTCATGTTAGTTGTTATTGGACACTATATTAAAACAAGATGCCCTCCATAAACTAAGGGCAAAACATCGTTACGTAATTTTCACATCATTGTAACATAAAAAATAACTACCTTAGAATTTGATGATGTGTGGGGCACCTGGGTGGCTCAGCCGATTAAGCAGCCAGATCTTGATTTAGGCTGGGGTCATGACCTTGGAGTTCATGAGATAAAGCCCCATGCAGGCTGCGTGCTATCCTCGGTGCTGACAGCACAGAGCCTGCCTGGATCCTCTCTCTCTCTCTCTCTCTCTCTCTCTCTCTCTCTCTCTCTCTCCCCCTGTTTGTCTCTGCCCCTCCCCTGCTCTCTTTCTCTTTCTAAATAAATAAACTTAAAAAAAGAATTTGATGATGTGTATCAAAAGTCTTTAGGTCTTTCAAACATACACATCCTTTGATAGTTATCCTGGTGAAAATATTAATTAAATGTAACCATAAATACTTATCCACAGCAATCTCAGAGTTGTTCGTAATACCTCAGGAGGTAATTTCAGCCCTGGATCTCAGCACTTTTCCACTTTCCATCACATTGCCTCAACATGCTTGCCCTATCTACTTGGCTATTTATGCTCACATATTTAGTGGCTTTTCCTTGACTTTTTGTGAGGGCTTGACTTCATCAATAAGTGCACACTGGGACAACTCTGTGAAGAAGAGCTGTGTATAAGAAGTGACAGAGGTGATGTTGGAAAAGTTCTTGTGACTAAAATGTAAATCTGATGCTACTCTAATGCCTAAAACTTTTATTGACTTCCAATCAAGTATGGATCAAGATCCTTGCTTATCTAGACCTGCCTATCTATTTAACTCTGTGGAATACCACCTCTCTTGTTTTCTGAGCCCCAGCTCTATTGAACTATCAATTCTTTTTTTTTAATGTTTAATTATTTATTTTGAGAGAACATGAGAATGAGCATGAGTGGGGGAGGGGCAGAGAGACAGAGAAGGAGGGAGAGAGAGAATCCCACGCAGGTTCCACACTCTGTGTGGCTGGGTCTCAGAAGCCATGAGATCATGACCGGGGTTGAAATCAAGAGATGGTCGCTTAACCAACTGAACTGCCCATGCACCTCCAGCACCATTAATTTTTAAGATGTTCCCTCCACTCCAGGATAATTGCAAGTGCTGTCTTCTAC